CTTGCAACGCTGCAACTCTAGATCGACTTGCAATACTTACAACGCTGCAACATTCGATCGATTGCAATACTTGCAACGTTGCAATAATCGATTACCTTTCAATGCTTGCAACCCTGCAACACTCGATCGACTTTCAATACTTACAACGCTGCAACACTCGATCGACTTGCAATACTTGCAATGCTGCAATAATCAATCGATTTGAAATACTTGCAATGCTGCAACACTCGACCGATTTGCAATACTTGCAATGCTGCAACACTCGCCTGCGACGTTAAAACATATTTATACATATAACTCAGCGACACTGGGTCGACGGCAACATAATCTTAAGATACAACGCGGCAACGCTTCCACTGCAAAGATGGCAAACCGCTCCCGGAAACTGCGCGTTCGAAATCGCGAGAATCAATTAAATCTATGATATGCGAAGGTGAACGCAGAAGACATTGCAGGGCCGAGTGCATGCTGCGGTGCAGACGATGAGGTCACAGCGACGGCGGTTTGTCGCAATGGGTTGATATGTGTCCTCCGTGACGATGTGATATCTCGCGAAGTGAGAGAGCGCGGTTCGACATTCTCACATCATACTGTCGTCGGTGACGCTACTGTCGTAAGGTGACGCTACTGTCGTCGGTGACGCTACTGTCGTAAGGTGACGCTACTGTCGTCGGTGACGCTACTGTCGTCGGTGACGCTACTGTCGTAAGGTGACGCTACTGTCGTCGGTGACGCTACTATCGTAAGGTGACGCTACTGTCGTCGGTGACGCTACTGTCGTCGGTGACGCTACTATCGTCGGTGACGCTACTATCGTAAGGTGACGCTTTCAAGAAATACATCAAATCTGCTGCTGCTGAAAATGCTGGTATATATATACATACATATATATATGTATATATATATATACACACATGTATATATATCAAAGTGTGGTTCCAGAGCAAATTGTCTTCATAGATAATCTATGAATTGATAATAACATATGGGAAAAAATGTGTGTTATTCTAAGCGACATTTTACGTTAGTCCACCAGCTTCAGTATTTGTCGAGAATGTCAGAACGAAAGTTACGAAACGTTTGTTATGTATTCACTACATTGTTATACATTATGGTGTTATAATTCTTACCACGTTTGTCTTTATACTTAAGATATTCTAGTGATATTGTAGGCTTATGCATACAATTTTTACTATGACGTTATAATATATACACATTTTGCACGATAATGCAAAAACAACAATTTACAATTTTTTTGCATGATAATGCTGTTACCTATGCATTGTACAGATTGATTGTTAAACTTAAATATAATATTATACATAATTTTTAATCTAAGTTAAATTAAATTAGCAATACTTAAAACGTGTTATATTGTATTTGCAAGAGGTTATTGCTGTCACTGTTGCAAAGAATGCACGCCATAATGATATTTATTATATTATGTGAGCCATTTTAGATTGACCTGCTCGGCTATATTCGATAGACAAACAATCGCCACCAGTTGGCGTACACATTTAGCCATATTTAAACAAGCAACCTGCAAAAACTAATCACCTCCTGAGTGGGTGAAATGTTTAATTCTGTATGGTGTAAAAGACTTAATATCAAAAGCTAATAATACATGTATTATACAATGTAATACACAATGTATTACCAATGTATTATACAATGTATTATGCAATGTATTATACAATGTATTATACAATGTATTATACAATGTAATACACAATGTAATACCAATGTATTATACAATGAATTATACAATGTAATACACAATGTATTACTAAGTATTCATACAATACGTATTATGCAATGCTCATACACAATGTATTACTGCAATGAAATACACTATGTATTACCGAACTGTATTATACAATGAATTTAGCAATGTATTTTATACAATGTATGTATACAATGTAATACACAAGTGAATACCAATGTATTATACCAGAATGAATGTATACCCAATTGTATTACACAATGTATTACTGAATCGTATATACAATGTATTATGCAATGTATTATAAACATTGTAATGCACATTATTACTAATGTATTATACAATGTATTATACAATGTAATGCACAATGTATTACTAATGTATTATACAATGTATTATACAATGTATTATACAATGTACTGTACAATGTATCATTAGCTCTTGCTAATAAGCACGCCACCTGGTGACATTTACTATCATTGCAGTCGAGAAGTCAACGCAACACGGTATTCAGAACATAATAATTAATTATCTTGTGCAGCATTCATTGTTACTAATAATTCTATCCTAATCCGCTCATTTGAATTGACTCGCGACTGTATATAGCACAACGCCGTGATGATTTGCTATGACACGTTTAAATGTACCCGTATTTGTTATGTTTGTTTGTTCTGAAATGCATCATTGGTCAGAAATCAGCAAATAACTCCGTTAGTAAAATTAACCTTAGTAAGCAAGCACGTACTAGTACTGGCTGCGCGAAGCAACCTCGTTTACGTACAGCGCCCCCCCCCAGTGGCGAATCGATCTCACACAGATTCGGTTCTTGACACGAGATGGCTTTCTTTCTAAGGTAGTTACGACGATAGTGTCACGATGCTAATCAATATCCGATCGATAATAAACACGCATCGATTCCGCTGGCTCTGCTTCCGCCTGGATTCCCTCTCACTCCAAACTTTTCAAACGCAGTTGCGGTGTTCTACTGACAGGCGAATGCGAGGTTTACTAGCGCATGATCTATTCTTGAGGCCATGCGAGATATCAAAAACACCGGCATAAGCCGTGTAAGTGTCTGATGTGCCTAACAAACCCCGTTTAGTTTGGCATGCTCAGTGTAATGTTGCCTTTGTATACCTCTGAGATCTGGCGGCATATCTTCTCATGCAGCCACCTGTGGTACTATCTGTTGTGTCTAGCGACACCTACCCGATTAAGTTTGAACGTTTTCTTCGTATACCTCTTAGATCTGGCGGCATATCTTCTCATGCAACCACCTGTGGTATCTGTTGTGACTACCGAACGTTTTCTTCGTATACCGCAAAGTTTTGGCAGCACATCTTAATTCCCATGCAGCCAACTACAGCGGGAGCGAAGGACAATACGGGTAGAGCTGGAGTGAAACTGTTTACTACGATTAATTGCTGTAAGCGCAACGTGCGAATATGCAGCGCTATATGCGTGTTTTTTTTTATAGTGCGAGTAGATCGATATCTGTGAAAAACTATTAAAAAACAATGCTTCATTCGTAGCTCAAATTCCACATTTGTAGTCTATTATCAACACGTGTACTGGCAATAATGACGCAGCATTCCTACTATTATTATTATTCATAATAATATGTCGTTACAGTTTATATCTGTGTTTATGACATTAATTGTTATTATTCGATCAAGGAGAGCATTTAAAGACAATGACCCACGCGAGCATATGGAGTTCATATCATAGTATGTGCGCAATGTGCACGAAATTTGGAATCTGGAAGAAGTCCAGCGATTTAGCGATTTAGTGTGTAGTGTAAGCATTTCAGTCGTTTTTATTCTGTGATTGTTCAACTTCCCGAATTTGCCTCGAGCTGGTCGCTATCGTAACAATTCAGATGGCAGCACCATGCACTCATGCTGGGGCGCGTAACCTGAGAACAATATATACATTGTATACATTGTATACATTATCTACTCCTGATATATATATATATATTGTGTATACATTGTATACATGTATATATATAGTGCTCTCGGCACGTAATGAACGAGCGCTGAGCTGTATATATAATAACATGCTTATCATTAATATTATTCTTAATTTTAAATGTTTAATTATGATTAACAACTTAAAATAAAACTTTATAATTAATAATATTATTATTAATAAATTATATATATATATATATATATATATACAGCTCAGTGAGAATGACACTCAGTATATTAATTGTTACGGTTAATATAGCGGTCGGTTAGAGTAATGAAGACCTCATGGATATAGCAATAACGTTACGTAATGGCTGTGGTGATTGATCGCCTAGCATCCACTACTCAATTCTCTTCAGGAACAACGTTCTTATTCTCTTTTTTTGCATATACATGACGGACGATTGTTCACCGATGATTATTTAAGGATAATAAAGAGGTTTTGTTTGAAATTTTCCTGCTGTTTTAAATATTTATTGTCGGACGACAGATGTACTCGGCTAACGTAACACTAATAAGGGAAATATACTCTACTGATAAAAATCTAAATAACCATAAACGCGTGTAAATCTGCACGTAGTCATTAGTGAAACCAGTTGCCGCCCAACACCCAGCCCCACGCCACACTATGTACTGTAAGGTGTCTATACCGTCACCTACGAGTCGAAGCCATTCTACGGGATTCTACAGGATTCACATACAGGCTTCGACCCAGGATTCACGGCAAGCCAGGCAAGGCCACGGCTGCCAGCGTATATAAGGACCGCCTGGGATCGACTCGGGGTGCTTCATTCTACCAGACGACCAGGAGAACCGACCGTGTAAGGATCAACCCTTACAGTACGTTGCCTGGGAGCTGCGTTTCTCTCTCCAGTGCACAATTACTGAGGTTAGTCAAGAAATCTTGTCTCCTCCCAATAGGAAGCTGATCAATCTACGACCCTATGCTTGTCGTTTTAAACAAATGGGTTCAACAGAATTACATTTCCGTCTACATATTATATATACAACGTTCACAACTTTGATGCACAAACGCAAAGTAAATCTCCTATACTAGGATATAGGGAAATTGGGGGATGACTGGCCACTTTACAAATATTAAAGTGGGATACGGGGAATACTATTTCATACCAAGCTACTCTGAAGTAGGTGTTTTTAACTTTAAATGTATAGTTTCAATATTGTTTGGGAAGATACTGAACATGTATGACAGATACACATAATTATACTGATCTATCAGCAATGACAGGTTTTTCGAGAATCCTGCCGGTAGATGGCGATAAAAGCGGTAAACAACCATCATCATTATCGGTGCGACACAAGACAGGACAGGTGTAGCCCTGACCAGGCTGTGTGACGGATTGTCTATACGGATTGTCTAACCCTAGCAATACCGTTTCTTGGAGCTAGGAAAGTGGTGAATTCATTCTATGGTGAAAGTCGGTAGTTTAGTACAGTAGTTACTAGGTTAGTTTGATCATGGTTTGATACGCTGAAACACATACTGTAAACGTTGTAGTTCGGATATGTATTGCCTAGGTACACCCTACCAGAGGTCTGCCAACCAAATATGTCCAACCGCAATACTAGTTGCTAGTACTAGTAGTACTAGTAGTAGTTGACCTTGGTGCTTGTAAGTTGTGGTTGTACTAGCCCGACCAGGCTGTGCGACGGATTGTCTATACGGATTGTAATATACGGATTGTCTATACGGATTGTAACCCTAGCAATACCGCGTTTCTTGGAGCTATGGTTGTACCTGCTACTTCATTCATCTCAGTGACAGTGTTGGGCGTGACTGTGGCAGAACGATACGGGCCGGTTTGCTGATGCTACAACATCATACATGACTAGACTTGTGGTTGTGGTAGTAGAAATAGCAGTACCATATGATATAGGCCCTACCTAGTTACACATATCGACTAGCTACTACAAGGCTGTTGGTTGTTGTTGAGTCCATCATCGTACATGCAGTACTACTGCCAGCAGCACCGCCAGCAGCAACAGAAGTAGCTCTAGTACTATAGCCCGCATAGGCAACTGTACGCAGGCTATAGTACTAGAGCTACAGCAGAAGCAGCAGCGTCATCGTCATCATCATCATTATCATTGTAATCATCCTCACTGACATCAGCAGCAGCAGTAACAGCAACAGCTGCAGCAGCAGCATCATCAGCAGCAGCTGAAAATCTGAAATTGCATATCACTGCAGCCTGGAACACATCCCCATAGTGCGATTGTACGTTCGTTCTATAGAGAGATAGATAGAGATATCGCTTCTTTACTTTATGTAACACTCACTGACGCGCGCGCGTGGGTGAAAGTTGTCCTTGGCCGCGAAAGAAATGAATTGTAGGGCAATATATATATATATAGCCATGATGGTATTGGGTGCAGTCCATAATTCAGTAGCTGTACTAATACAGATACTCACCAATACAAATGCTAAACTCATGGTATACCCGATTCTTCAACATATAAATGATATTAATTGCTATATTTCCCCCTCGTTTAGCAACAATCATGCCGCTGTGTGAGTTTGTAACGAACATTCCGGATAAAGAACTACCGGGGAACCTTCACGTAAAGCTTGGCGAACTGCTTTCAGAGGCTCTTGGGAAGCCACCAGAGGTATCTAGGCATTTCTTTAATCTTTACAAAAAGTGTACATTCTTATTCTTTATCGACATGTTCATGTTAAACTTAATATCAAATCGGCTTCTGTTTTGACAATAAATGTTGACTAAAATACATTAGGACCCGTGTAAATATTAGTAATAAGTTAATAACCATGGTTACTGGTATGTTATGTGCACTATAGTGACAGTGTCGTATTGCAGAGACTTTCCCTGACTGTTACTGGCGGTGCACGCATGTGGAGGGCGGGAGAGGATCCGATGGCATCACTCAACATCTGGTCGTTCGCTGTGTTTGGCGACCCGGCCAAGAACGCGGAGTACTCGCGCGTTCTGAACGACTTTGTCGTCAAAGAACTGGCGATCCCTGCCGAAAGGTGCGACCAGTTGCCGTTCATTACAGAGAATTAAATTAGTTTGATTAGTTTTCGATTGTTGTGTTTTGAACCGATTGCATGTACTTAAATCAATTGGTTAATGTTAAGGATACTCGCCACGTTGTGCATGAAATTTCATCGATTTTTCGTTTTCAACTTTATTCGATGTCTAACACTATGTGCCACCTGTGTACGTGCTCATTTCTTCATATAACGGTACATGTGAACTGTCAGAGCGTTTTTGCTTGCCCGCGTACATGTGTAGTAAGCAGCGGCTGACGTCATTATGACATCAGAGACATGATACAACCATGATATTAACTATAGCCAGTATCATTCAGCGTCAACCCTGCTACAGCTGTCATTACATGTATTCATGTACATTCATGTACATCTGCTAGTGATCCAACAAGTATCCCACGCCCAAAATAGTTCTAACACCTAGCAACACACCTTACTGTAGTGTGGTACAAGGCATGCGTTTGTTGACATATTAGCTTTGTGATGTCAGGATGAGTGGAGTTCGTGCGTTCTGCATGGTAACCTCTTAATTTCTCAGAATTTCTCAAGGTGCATGGAACATTTTACCAATTTAGTGGTGTCAGTTAGTCATGGATATGTCGCAGTAAGTACTAACAATAGATATATCACATACGTTCACCCATTTTGCACACAGGCGGTCACTCATTGTTAAAAATAGAAAAACGATGATTTCTCCGTTTCGATTTCTGACATAGTAGCCGATGTATAAATGGATATTTCTCTGTGATTACAACTCGGATTAATTTAATTTTACACTCGTTTTAATGGTAACATATTGTGGTAAAGAAGCGTGTCAGGGATTGTTATTAAGTGCCGTACTTTATTAGTTATGCCTCTTTATTCGCTAAAATTTTCTATTTTAACACACAACTTGATTTTTAAGCAGTTTTTTCGAGTTTTCTTGGTAAATATGAAAATTAAAGAAAAATCCTGACGCGCTATTTTGGTCCATATTGTGCTTAACATGTGGCAAAAATTTTGTATCCTCACTCTTTCTGGTAGTTGAGAAATATCCAAAATACCATTTTTACATAAAAATTCAAAATTTGTGTGGTAACATAATTAGGTGCTGGAAATTTCATGAAATTTTTTGGCTTGAGCATAGAGATATATCTCCTCTATAAATAAAACAAGTGATTGATTCGATTCATTCGCCAATAAACGTTTAATCTTCACTAGAGCAATACCCGTGCACAACGTGGAGAGTATCCTTAAAGCATGTTGAATGCGTGATTAATTTGGTTGAATCTGATATATTTGAGAGTGAGAACAAGGTTGCTGGAAACAATATATCTCTTATCTATTTCATTTCAGACTTGTAATCATATTCAATGATGTTCCGCCGACAAACGTTGGCTACAAAGGAACCATCGCAGCACCGGCACCGAAGTAAAGCATACAGCTATGCAGGATAGCATGGTAGATGTTAGTATTGACCACACCCTGATTCCATGACCTTGGTGAGATTAGACACAGCAGGTAACTGCACCAAGCACGTTCTACTGTCGATCCACTAGTCCATGATATACAAACATCTATTGAGCTTGGTAGACTGCTCCTTAGATACTGTGCAGACAATCTGCTAGCGTTGTTAGCTAGTTTTAGAAAGCCATGGAAGTTTTTTTTATTGGTATAGTGTATAGAAGGTAACCATTCCTTTGTTGTTAGCGATACTGGTGCTTATACTTATAGTAGACCTGGGGTTGAATTAGAAGAACTGCACGTATCTGCAGTTCTACCAATAAATATGTGATCCTAGTTTTTAGCTGTTATAATACTGTGCATGATTATACCTGGTCATGCATCCAATCATTGCTCAACGTGCATAACCCACTCACACTCGAATTTTACTTTTGCTCATGTTAGTCATTGGTTATGGTGAAATATGATGACTAGTTACTGTTATAATATAAAATAGTTTATCAAACACATGGTTTGTTAATTTTAATCTGTCAAAACTCTTGAATTAAGTGTAAATAATACATAAACATTAGATGACAACGATTAATAGCATTTGCTTCGATGATAAATATTTCATTTTTATATTATATTATACGAAGTCATTATTCACATTCACGCTCGCATAAAATAGAAACGACAAACATTTACTTGCTGGCTGGACAACAACTATAATCACTATATAGTACACATATTCAATGCATAAATATAAAATTGTTGCTCAACCACCTCTGCAAATAATAGCCAGCCAGTTTTAGGCATCCGTTGCAACCACTTAGTCCAGAATAGTTTGCAGATCGTTTATAAGCGATGAAAGGTCTGCGCAAGAATTTGACGATAAGACGAGGAAATCCCCCGGATCAAAGTGACACATCGGAATGCTGTTTACGGGAGCCATCCGGGGGGGGGAAGAAACCTTTGGGCAGAACATTTTTTGGGAAGAAACATTCGGGCGTAACATTTTTTGGGAAGAAACATTTCCCGCAGGAGAACGAATTTCGTCACCTACACGCAGGAAACTCGCGGCAATTCTACACGCGAATCCCGACGGAAGAATACAAAGCGGTTCCCACTGCTTGAATTCCAACACCTGACTGGTCATCAACGGCGGAGCCACCAGCCATCAGTTTGACTACTCTTCGTGCTGTCACGTCCGCCGAGGGCTGGCATTCGCGGCCCCGTGTTTACCTTGCCGATCGACGACATGATGATGAAGTCCAATGGTGGGTAAGACTATGCGGAAGCGGGATGCGGAACGATGAGACGAGAACGACGGGGGAACAATCTCAGTTCTTCGCTGTCGTTCGCTTCTGTTTTAGGCTCTGACCTTCTCCTTTGAAAGCCTCGAAAGGCTGCAACTCCTTTTCCTGCGGGAAGACAGTGCGGACCACGGCTTAGGGACGTTGGGAAGTTAATTGCGAGATTAGTTGATAGTTTTGTTTTTCTTTCGTCTATCTCCATCTCTGCAATTATAACTCAGGCACCATTGCAGTCTGCAATTTTGTTTTGAATGATCAATGAACTAACATTCTGATTAAATCTAGAAGATGCTCGTTATGTCAATATAGGCTAGACATAGGAAGCCAGTTCTACAGCAATCAATAATCCAATCCTCTAATTAATTAATGCACACTATAGCATTCCACTTGAAATAACGAGCAGAAGCGATAAGAAGGCAAAATAGTGCTATACTACCGATTCGCAAGATAAAATCAGTTTGCGTAGCTACTCCTGCGTATTAACCATGTGTTCTAAAACTACTTTGCTATAATTATGGTAAGCTATGGGTTCTGTTTCTACCTCTGCTTCCGTGTTATTGATCGGTCGTACTTCTCTGATGAACGTCAGCTTTCTCCTATTGTAGTCACAGTTTGGAATTCCTCTGCATTCAAAACACAAGAGCATATGGATGAGCAGATATAACTAGAGACACCTCAAAGCCAGAAAATGCAATTACATACAAGCACACTCAAGGAATATGGTTAGCCAATAGCTTCTACATAATACAAAACAAATGAACCTGCATTACTCAAGCGCTCCCAGTCGAATGGATATTTTCACAATTAACTCCAATATATCGTTGCTAATTATAATACTAACACTTCTTCTAATAATACCGTTTTCCGTGAATGACAACACTAACCTCCTCTGCTCTCCTTGAGGCGTGCTGACAGGTGACAGATCACCGCTCCTCTCTTTCCCATCCAGCCTGTTTCCCTCACCGGCGAACGGAACAAACCCATCAGCTTCTACGATATCGTCCATTGGCGTCTCCTGCAAACCATGCCAAGACTTCGTTAAAATTTGACAACGACATAAGAGCAAATATCCGAGTTTGGAAGCACAAAACGGACTATATGGTTACTCATTTAAAACGGCAAGTTTAAAGTGTGCTTCAAAACATAAATCGTTTTGCCTTTTAAATTAATTTGAATAAATTGTTTCCCCTTTTTAAATGTTATTAATCTTCTTCATGGTATTGGTCGCGAAGAAGAGAGACATTGTTACTAGGCTGAAGTTACCTCCTCCTGACCAGGTTGTTGACGATGTGATCGAGGTTCCTGGTATCCAATAGGCGCTGCAAACTCCACCTATAAACATGAAGTTGGTGCCAGAAATTACACAAAACCAATTGAGATAAAATGACCGCCTTTCAGTTGTCACGGCAACACTGCAGCAGGCAACGTTATCATGTTAATTATTATTTAATTACAACAGTTTGACATCACTGCAGCTGTACAGCTTTAAGTATGAAGACCTAGGCACAATGTTTTGACTGGATATTATGATAGATAACACAACATCAGCAGTCCACAGAGCTTTCACAACTGCATCACACTAATTCTGTAACTATAACAAAATGCAAATTGGTATAGTATAAGGTGTATTGAAACATCAAAGCACTTGACCAGTGGCAGCACACCCAGTTCAATTACACACGAACATCATGATATCTATCTTGTTGTTTACCTAATGCTAATTACTACTGCTCAGTAGACAGTTTATGCTATCCACAAAACGACAATAATGTTTGAAAAGAAACGTCATTATCTTACGTTCATGTCACACTCAATGATGCTGACGGCCTTGCCTGGCCTGGTCTCTAGCACACAAAGCTCATATATCTGCAATAACATGTAGTAATAGTGGTAGCAGCAGCAGCAGCAACAGCAGCAGCAGCAGCAGCAGGTTATTTTACATTTTATGTAAATGAAGACCAATCTTCTGTAACCCTCGTAATTATCAATGCATTACTTATTTGATAACAATTTCAGCTCCGCATACAAAATGCAAGATGATTTCGTTAGTCTAAACCTTCAGTTTGTCTATTTACCATCCCTTTTCGAATAGTTTCTTACCTTTTCGTTGTATTTAATTGCAATGACATCTCCGGATGTTAGGCATGCAAAACTTCGTAGTGCATTCTCTAGACTGACAACTTAGAGTCAAGGACTTACATGATTAATCAAAGACTGATAAAAACAATTGGCTACATCTCCCCACTACCCACCCAGAAGCCAAACACTCGCCACTAAATATCTATGCGCTTAACCAACACTGGTTAAACATATTATGTATAAAGTTATCCCCCTCTTTCTTTCGCTCTCTCTTTCTCTCTCTCTCTCCCTCTCTATCTCTCTTCCTCCCCCTCTCTCTCTCTTTCTCTCTCTCTTTCCGAAACTGCAAGGATACACCGCTTTCGGGTTTGTGATGTCGAGAAAGTCCGGCGCCTGTGGCTGGAACTTCGAGAACGTTGCCACGGGCAACGAGACACTCTCCACTTTGATGAGGCCTCCTTCTTCCAGCAGCAGATTGGTCATCATCTAAGCAAACAACCGCGATTGATCAGCACATGGCGGCAGCAGCAGCGTCGGAGCCGCACGAACTAGGAGAAGTGACACTCGGTAGTCGTCATAACTGTCTCGACGACGAAGTGATGGTTGTGGTGAGTAGTGAGAGTTTCGAAGAACGTGGGTGTGCGAAGATGTGAGCCCCTGTATGAGGAGTATTAGCGGAAACCTAGGCCGCATGCTCACCCAGAATGGAAGGTAGATCTTTCCCTCGTCTGCCACAAACTCTAGCACGCCGCAATGCGTCACCCTGTCCGTGTTTTTATTGGTCAGTTTGAACAACATGGGATACTCGATGTTCAAGCGAGCTGAAAGATAAAACATGTGGTCGCTGGGTGCCAGAGTGCAACCATTACACGTACGATGATGAAAATAACAAATATTGTAGATCATGACAGTGACAAACTCTTCGCATGTTGGTGTGAAATCTGAATGGTGTAGGCCTTGCTACCGGTGTCAATATGTTTTTAATACTGACTGTGCTATGATATTACGAGAACTGACTGTAGAAACAAGTTCACCTTACTCACACTGTTCGTAAATTATATAATGGTATCTATTTTCTTGGCGGGTTTTACCAAGCTAACCATTAATATGATATGCACTATGCAAACATTCAACAAATATAACAAAATATTACAAAGCCAGCTTAGTGAAACCTACTTCAATGTTTACAACAGTACTAGAGAATACTCTTACTTAGCTGGTCAAGTGCAGACGGTGGCATAATAACTGTAAAAGACAATACAAAACTTATTTAGTTTCAATTATTATACAAAACATTCAAAGATACAGCAAGCGAAAACTACGATATACTGGCGATGCTGGCAATGATGAAGATGAAAAAGACGATGATGATAATGATAATAATGATAGTAATAATAAATAATAATGATATAGATAATAAATGATGATGATGATAATGATAATGATGATAGTAATAATAAATAATAATGATATAGATCATAAATGATGATGATGATAATGATGTTGGTGATAGTAATAATAAATAA